CAAAAAAAAGTTTCAGGAACCAGAAGAAAATATTGACACATTTTCCAATTTATATCATCAATTAACTTGGAAAGTGTTGTATTGGTAAAGAAGGAAGAATAATATGTCAATAAGACATGTCCTTTGTGATAAAATATTTACTTTTAAACACTTTCCACAATAATGAAGGCAAGGAGAAGTGGGAATCTGGCTGCCAGAAAACAACCATAGGGAGACCTTCTCAGCTCATCCAAAGAGAATCTTGTGCTCCTTGAAACTCAGAAAAATAATTTACACCTGAGTGCACCAAAATTTCTTAAATTTAGGGAACTGCTTCAGGGCACCCCCTCCTCTGTACTTACAAGTTTTTATCTTCTCCCATTTCCATTCTCCCAGCCAAACCTCTCACCTTGCTGGTTTCTGGGGACCCAGCATGGATAGCAGACTTCCTGGGCAGATTGACCCAGACTTCCATAGCACCCAATAAAATTATTTGCCATCATTAAAATGTTTTCTTTTTCTTATTTCTGTGCTCTATAATTTCTGAAGTACATTTTAGAGTGATAGTGAAACTTTTGAGAGACATTTTGTTGGGCATGTTGATTTTAGGAGATTAAAATCATGCTTATATTTATAAGTCATTGAAAATATAATAAAAGTAAGATATCTGGTCATATTGAGCCCAACTCATTACAAATTCATGTGTCAGTTTAATTTTCAGTTCATTTTATTTTTAGAAGTCTTCCCAGATGCCTCTTAATAGACTTAAGATACCCTCCCCCAGCCCACCCCAGCAGTGATCATGTTAACTATTTGCAATATTCATGGACTTCTGCAAAGAAACTTAGAAGGTGTTATCTTATCCACCCATTAATTTTATTTTCAAGGAAGCTCAGAGTGTGAACAAATATTATTAATTTAAAGACCACTATATTACTTTTTTGATTCTGCATTAAATATATTTCTAATGTTTTTGTCTAGGAAATAGTAAACACTATGTATATTTTTCCCACTGTACATTTTCTAAAAGCAGGTAGAAAATGGCTGAATAGTATTTCATAGTTGTTACTGACTTTATTTTGGGGGGGACTGACAGATTAGTCTCAGTTGGAACTTGTGCTTTTTGTATTATTTTCGGTGCTTATATCATTACCTTTGTGGAAAATCAGTGCATGATATTTTAATCTGCATCAGTCCCAAACTTCACATATTCATGCATATTTCCTCAGCATCCTCTATCTCATTTTGTAGTTTTCTTTTTACTAGACAACTCCTACTGATAATGGAATCCTCTCCAAGCTATTTTATGTTGTTACATGGAAAGAAGAAAATAAAGATATTTGTTTGGACATGCATAGAATAACTCTAGAAAAAATTATTAACAGTATTAACAGTGTTAGAAACCTAGTTTAGCATGTGGAACTCCATTTTGCTTTAAACTGCCTTCAACCCCTGCTAGCTGCTAGCCTGCCCATCTCTTTACTTCCCCAACCTTACTCTCCTGACAGACTTTGGCTCTCCTGAAATGTCGCTGGACTCTGCCTGCGCAAGCTGCAAGAAATGTAAACTCTCTTGTTGGACCTTGAGTTATTACCTGCCGCTCTGCTGTTCCCCAGCCCCTTCACCTTGCCAACCTGACAAGAATGTATCTAGAGGAATATCCCTCCCCTTAAGCCAGCCCACTACTTGGAATTATTAAAATCCTGAAATTCCTTTGTCCTGTATGGAGAGTGTTTCAAGGTGATTGCCCACTTGTGATGTAGTAGTTTAATAAATGCTTTAATTATTAATGAAAAGGCGTTGCTGATCTTGCCCAGGACAATAATCCTCTTTTGAGATGATATTTGTGGGTGGGGAGAGGAGTGAGAATTTTCATCTTTGTATTTTAATTTTGAGCAATGTAAAATGTTCACTATTAAAAATTTAACATTTAGAATTTCATTCATAAAACAGTGTATCTCAGAGGCATTATGTCAATGGAGGTCAACCTCTTGAAGCTGTGTTATATACTTTTCCAGTCAGTATATAAAACCCCGGATTGATGAACCTATAGGGACAGCAAGTAGCATAATATGTTTAGGGGCTTTGTGGGTAAGCTAAGGTCAGGACCATAAAAGGGAGACAATATCAGGAATCCATGTAGAAAAAGAATGGTTGGACACTGATTGTGGTGGCAATAGTACAAGTCTACTTTATGTGATTAAAAAGGAAATGATATGTTATATGTACTAAATCCCAACTTAAAACTAAGAAGTGGCTGAAATTCCATTGCCTCTGTGAAGCAAAAAAACCAAAAAACAAAACCAAACAAACAAAAAAATCAAAACAGAGAGAGAATTGAACTAGAAAATTTCAGGTTTAGAAACATCTTCGGAAAACAGACACTGGGGAAAATCAATGTTGAAGAAAACCAGGAAAGCTGAATCCCTGCAGGGAGACAGTAAAGCTCAGCAAGATGAAATATCCTCACAAGGAATGAACAACTGATGAATTCCAGGGCTGAGAGTATGCAAAGATATTAGGACAGATCATTGAGGGGGTGGGGGGCCCACAGCAGTGCATCACACCATCCAGGGAGGCTGTTACAGTGGTGACTGGGCCACCCCTGTGCCCAGGGCTCCTGAGTGCATCAAGGGGTCACAGTCCATTCAGCATGGGGCAGTTTTCTTTCTTTTTTTCTCTGTTTTTCACTAAACAGTGGACCAGCATCATGGCATGGGTATTATTCACTCCACCTTGGATCTTGACCGTGTCTCATAGCCTTGGGCTGCCAGGGTAGGTGGGGAACTTTTCCTGTTTGTTTTTTTGTTCCTGTTTTCACAACCCCACTGCAGGCCACATACTAGACCAAATGAACTTCCCACAAGTAGTGCAAAAGTGTCCAAGCTAATACCCTACTGCTCTCAGCCACGAAGATAAGCACCAACGTTTGTCCAAAGGCTCCCAGAATCAAGCTTAACCATTTCCAAACAGCAGAGCAGTGCTGGGCCTTTATAAAAACACAAAAGCAGCACTAGAGGAACTCTACAGAGCTGGTGCCCACACATTCTTGTGCCCTAGGGCTGCCAAAGCTGCTACAAAGACCCACCCAGTCCCAAAGAAATTGACAGTGCTCTGAGGTTGCCAGGAATAGCTTAGGAATTTTTAATTCCTTCTATTTCTTTCATTCCTCTTTGTTTTTACCTGCTGACTCTGGCCTGGAATCCATTTCTTTGTCCTTTTTGTGTGTGTATGTGTGCATATGTTTGTTCACTTGCCAGCTCATGACGTAACCACCCTTGAACCTGCAAAAGGAACAGCTAGTACACAAGGACCAACTCA